GATTTTTACCAACTGATATGTTAGTGGCATCAACAGTATCATATAAAAGACTGCTATATTGTTAATCTATTAAAGCCTAATGCATATTTTCAGTTTTATGGTGAAAACTAAGCTTGTCTGTGTCCTCTTCTTCATGAGTGCAGAATTTATAGTGGAGTATGAGGAGAGTCAGTGGGAGCCTGGCAGGTGGAAGGAGCTACAGAAAGTCAACGGTAACCAGGCAACAGCTGAATTGGCTCTACACGGACATCTTAACTATCAATTCAGAGTGTATGCTGTTAATTCTGTTGGACCTGGACCCCCCAGTGAGCCCACTGAGAGATACAAAACACCTCCTGCTGGTGAGACTTGCAGTTTTCTATTAGCATTTTCTGCAAAGGTTATCATTATGTCATGAAAGCATCGATCTTTGAACATTTCGTTTGAAATTTGCCTTTCTATAAGTCAGCCTTTGGCCATGAGACTTGTTAGCAGTCAGGGATATGAATGTGTTCTGCCATGTTACTGCTTATTAGCACCTATGAATCATGAAATATTAATACTAGTACCTCAATTACAAAAGGGATTTTTCTGAAAATCAAGACTGGGCATTAGCAGCATTACAGTGATTTATGTTAGCCAGCAAAAAAAGAAGACAAATCTGTTTATTTTGAAACAATATGGTTTATGCGACTACAATCTTCCCAAAGCCCCAGACAGAAATCCAGAAAACATCAAAATTCAAGGCCATCTGCCTCATCAAATGGACATCAGCTGGGATGTAAGAAATGCCATCTTTCTTTCTTTATTTCTCATGTTTAAATCAAGTTAAAATCCATATCCTAGATGGAGCACTGTAAACCTGTGGAACATTTCTCCTCACCAACCTCTAAGTTCTCTGTGTGCTGCCATTTTATAGCCACTGTTGCCTACTGAGAGCAATGGCCCTGGCCTTGAGTACAAGGTGAGCTACCGCAAACTGGGGGTCGAAGATGTCTGGACAGACCAGCTGGTCAGCGGCTCATCCTTTGTCGTGAGGAATACGTCCACTTTTATCCCATATGAGATCAAGGTTCAGAGCAGGAACAGCCACGGCTGGGGTCCAGAACCTAAAGTTATCACAGGTTACTCTGGAGAGGATGGTGAGTTGGGCATTATCATTTTATTGACATATTACATTCATATTTTCATTGTTTCACAACTTGCTTTTGTTCAGCTTCACAACTTGTGTTGTCAAACCTAACGTGCATATCTAGCCTCCCTTTGAACGTCTTGTGTTATTGTTTCCATTTGTATCTTCAGTTTTCATTTGGCATTGTCTGCGGGAAAATGTGTCAGGTTAAGTTCTTTCTTTCTTTCTTTTTTCTCTAATTCAGGGTTTTAACCCTGTGCAGGTGTGCAGTGGTGACTTTTCCTCTCCGATGATAAAGAATAAAAGAAAATCGCCACTTCTGTATCTAGCAGGTGGCAGATAACCTTTGCATTTGAGAGATAGGCCAAATTCCCACCACAGTGTCAGAACCTGTTGGAGATCTGACAGATCACAAGACACTGTACACTTTGGGCCCACTGAGGCACATTGGCTCTCCTCTGCCTCTGACATCTGCTGTACTTTTATCTCTCCCTGCTACCATTATAGTCATATGTAGAAAATATAGTTCCTGTATAGGATTTTAATTCCATATTAGGTGTTGTATTTCCTTTGCTTTGAATGGTAAATCCGCAACAGTAGATTCCAATCTGTGTGTAGTTTTCTTTTAATGTTTTTATCCCATGTCTTTATTTTTTTTATCATGATAGTTCACAACTGCATAGCTTACACAAACAGAATTTTCCAGTTGAGATACTGTAGATTGTATAAGAGTGAATTGAACTCCCTCTCACGTGTTTCACATTTCAAATGTATCCTATAGGTGATTGATTTTGACCATATTGATGTATGAGTTCTGTTGTACTCTGTATAACTGTTTGTCTGACCTTCTGCTTCCTTCTTAAGTTCCATCAGCAGCACCACGGGACGTAGCAGTGGAGGTGATCAACACCACTGTTTTGAGAGTGAGTTGGACCCCAGTTCCACCTGCCACACTAAGAGGTCACCTAGGAGGCTATAATGTAAGTTTTCCCATCCTTTTGTGATTAGTTCTTGATACTGGCACATTTTTTACTTTCCCTGTATTCTTGACTTTTAATCAAGTCCAGACAAATCCAGTCTTACCAGAAAACGTTGAATAGCTACACTTGTCTCCATCAGTAGCGTTTTAATAATAAAATAGAAATAGATTGCAAGTCTGATGTTTTTCCATATATATTACAAAAGGAACTTGGTTATGGTTCCTGGCTTTGCTGGAGAAGAATGCCGGTCCATTTGTGTATGAGATTTGATAGTAGTTCATTTAGGTCTTTTTAAAAAATATTTCATTATTCTATATTCGATTAAGAATGTACTGAAGGCAAGCCAGTCCAGCTCTGAGTCTCCACGATCCCATAGTGTCCTGTTATAATTTACTTGTCGATAGGAAATGTGTAAATATTGTCATTTCAAGTATGTAGCCTGTGCAGTTGAATGGGTTGAAAGCAAAAGTGACAAAGAGGAGTTCCTTTTCAAAATTCTGCTGCATGTTTCTGACATTGCTGAGTTTTACCATTTTATATCGCCACTATCTTGCAGGTTCACTGGGTTAGGAAAAAAAGTCTTCTGAAACCAGACAAGATTTTATCTGAGCACCAGTCTATGTCTTTTTCTGGAAAGAGGAGCCATGCCATTGTGCCAGGACTTGAACCTTTCTCAGAGTACAAACTCACCGTCAATGTTTTTAACAAGAAAGGCAATGGACCCAAAAGCGATTCGGTCACCTTCAATACCCCTGAAGGAGGTGAGGTTGCACAAAATGTGTATTTTCCCATCTTGCTTGATGTGCATTTATACAGCCATGTGCGAACATAGTGCACAATTGAAATAAAAAAAGGCCTATAGAAAATGCACAATGAACCACTGTCAAACCCAGAGCCATCAGGAATGCTCATGCTCACTACATACCTGTTATGGAATAAAACTTACTGTTGATTGACCTCAGACACACTACAACCTCTTTTCCACAAAACTATGTGTTTGGATGTGTTTGCGATAATCAATTTGCAGTGTAATAATTCCTATCTCTGAACTTTTTTTGTACTATGTTAAGAATAATAAGATAAGTATCATCAATGGGTTATCCTCTTTTTGAAGTCATCCATTTGCTGGATGGCTGTTAACATTTGCAGTCATATGATTTCTTCAGAAAAACTTACCATAGCTGCTAAAAGTAGCTTTTAATCCAGCTTCTGTCTAACTACTGCTCCTCTTAGTCACCAGAGTGCGTCTGTAGGTAGCATGACTCACAGTACTGGCAGTTTCATGTGTACAGTGTGAACCAAACTTGTATCCTTTAGTTGTTTTTATCAAACATATAATTGGCATTTTTATCGTTGTTACTATGACTTTCTATCCAGTCCAAAAATGCATTGATATTAATGTCTGTTGTGTAGTTCCAGGGTTGGTGCCCATCCTAACTGCCTCCAACTCTCAGATAGACTCCATTTTATTGGTATGGGGCCCACCGCTGGAGGCAAACGGCATCCTCACTGGTTATCTTCTGAAGTTCCACCTCTGTATGTATACATACCATCAGTTTATATAAACTTTTTAAACCATTGAACCCATAGATAATTTTACATTAATAGATTTCCTTTTGATTCGCTGTAAGGTTTTATCTTTGGTGCGATCCCTTGCAGACAAAGCCAAAGCCTGTGGGTAGTATTATTATACTGGCAAGTTGGTACAGAATAGATCAATAATAATGGATGGGGTGGATTTTTGACAGTATGTGTACATTTGTGGAAGATTCAATTCTATTTTTAAAATCAAAAACCTTTGGCGTAAAATCATTTAATTTCCATCCCCTTCCTCTCCTTTTTCTGTCTCATTTGCCATGTTATCATATTGGACAGCAGGTGGCACTGTTTCACACTGAACACAGCCACAGCCTGCAACAGCCTAATGTGTTTGCTGCTTTTGATTGCAGTTCAACATTTATCTCATTGTTTCTTCTCATTGCTGGACTGCAGATCTCTCTCCCAAAATAAAAATATCTGCCTATTGTGTAATCGATTGGCATTTGTCCCCTCCAAAGCGTTTCCCACACGCAAGAAAGTGCTTTTATGCTTAAGAACAGTTAAGGTGAACAAGTAAGTTGGGGGCTTTCATTATGAGCTGTCTATTTTCAAAGCTATACTCCTGTTGGCTGACATTTCTGAAGTCTTTTGTGCGAAATGGAAGGCAGAGACAGTCCTGTGCCGCCTCCACCTGCACCCACGGAGTCTGGCCAGCTCTTCAATACATTCTGTCACCCCTTCTCCTCTCAGCTTTTTTTTCTCATATCAGATGTCAGACTTTACACAAGTATTCCTACACAGTGCAATCTGTGGGTGTTGGAATATTTTTTGGTTGAACTGATTCACTACGTACATCAAGAGTGTTTCAAATTCTGTTTACTGTTTATCGCATGAATAAAATATATTATGCTGGGCTTTACGTGGAGTTTGTATGTCCAGTTGGTTCATGACACTGCAGTGTGATTATCAGATGAGTAATCCGTCGTAAGCGGGAAATGTAAGATATGCAGAATTTTGTACTGCACACAAATATCAGTTTTATAAAGCAGTACAAAAGACTTGGCACCTCGGCTCTCGCCTGCAGTTCCAACACTTTCACAGTTGTGACATCACTGAGCGAGCTTTCAGGTTGCTTTTAGCAGTCTGCACACATACTGTACTTTGATGTTTACTGCGTGTTTGGTAATATGCGCCACACGGTACTTGTACTGTGTACTTCTCCTCTGCATTTCTTCTTTGTGTTTTTTCACTCTTTTGTCTTCTTCCTTCTAATTTGTTAATCTTTTACTCCTACTTTTATATTGTTCTGTCAGTAGCATCATAGTGCCTCATTTCCATTTTCTCCAGCTATTCTTTTTCTTATCTTCTCCTCCTTGTCTTTTCATCCTTTGCCACTTATTTACACCCGCAGCCTCGTGAGCTCTCCATTTTCCCTTTCATCTTCTTGCCTTTCTTCGTAATGTATTCCTCTTACCTGTCACCGCTTGTATCTTCTATATACAGTTTCTGCATGGGCTGGCGTGACATCTCTTCCTCTTTCGTTGCCTCCCCATTATTGACCCCATTACAGTTGTGTTCCATTAACATGCAACATGACCCAACAGAGATGACCTTTCCAGCGATGATTCGTTGTAAGCTCATTCTGAACTCAACTGACCTGACATCTTTCTTTCTCGTGTGTAGTAAACGAGACTTCACTGGAGGTGATTGATTCCCGAGAGATGAACGTTACAGGGGCTGACATCACTCAGTGGCAAATTTGGGGCCTGAAAGAGGACAGTCTCTATCGCTTCCACATCAGTGCTTGTACCAGAGCTGGGTGTGGTCCTCCACTGGCTCAGGAGAGCAGAACCGTTGCTGAAGCAGGTGAGCGGACTTAATGAGTACTAGTTGCTCCCATGATTCGTCCAGTAAAGAAAGACTGTTTATATTCAAGTGGTGGATTTACATTTCAAACATAAAGATAAATTATCCCCAAAATTATTCCCATAAAAACACAGATCATTTGGTTACTTGGTTTGCTATCCATTTGTTAAAATCCTAAATACAATTTATTAACAGATCGGGCTATAAAAGCAAATACAACAATTATCCGCATGTTTTACATTTGTATATAGTTTTCTCTTTTGAATTGTTTTGTGTTTACTTTTCCAATATCACTTGAAATTTGTGCAAATGTCAGTAATCCATGAGGAATGTATGCCATATGATTGACATCAGCTTCAAGTAAATGCACTTTCTACGCAGTGGCTTTGGGAAAGAGGAAACAACATGTTTTGTCTCTGTCACGTTGATGTAGAAATTGCACAAATTTTCTCTAAACGAGGGAATGAGTTGAAGAGCAAAAGTTATCAAACCCTTGGCGTTATGTTACAAAAAGAGGGGAGTCACGTATGAAAAAATATCTTTTCAATTCCTCATAATGCAAAATAAGTTCAGCTTTTATGTACCCTTACAAATGCAAAGCATTGTCTGCATCTGTGAATGTCCAGCCTGAGAGCCATTAGGTGCATTATTTGTAAATGTGGCTGAGTAGAGCCACGATGGGGAGATAAAATAGTTCTGTTTCAAAGAGCTGTCCTCAGGGCATGTTAGTCACAACGTGAGCAGAGAGATTTATGGTTGCCAGTAGCAGAGAGCAGGGCTTCCATGAATCTAAGGACATAAACGGGTAGGCATGCAGTGACACTGATACAAAATGAATGCATATGAATTAGTGAGCGCTCGCTTGGTGGAGTCCCTTTTAGATTTCACCTTTGTGAATGGGCTTTTGATGGTTGGATTGGCTGAACATTTTTCTAGCTTAAAAATAATATGGTTAAAAAAAAAAGAAAAAAGCAGACATGAGATTTTTCTGGTATTGTGATGTCTATATTTTTAGTAATGAAGGGCTCAAGCTTCAGATTAAATAAACGTACAGAAACCCTGGTTAAAACATGAAAACAAGAATAGGAAAAGCTGAGATAGTATTACTGACAACACTATCAAATAAAAAAAATATATTTTGAACATCACGAATCATTAGATAACGAAGCAACAGAGCTACACCAGGCGGTAAAATATTAAAAAGCACAAAGAAGCATATGGCTTGAAAGTCACAAAATAACCAGCTTCTCCAGAGATTAAATTACTTTATTCATTATACAACACTTGAGCTGTTGTTTACCACCAAAACATTTTTAATCACATTGAATTCATTGTTAAACTTGAGCATTTAAAATAGAAGCACAATAATCAAGGACTCGTCTTCTGTGTAATCAGCAAATCATTCAGGAAACACAGCAGAACATGTTGTACACTGACAAGCAGTGGTTTGCCAACATGATTAAAAGTAGAAAAATAAATCATTATATCTGAGAAAGTTTCCTGAATCTCATACAGAATTAATGTCACAGAACAAATCATATTCAGCTGCCCTGCAATTTTATGCAAAAGAAAATACAAGCTAACCTATGTTGGGCGTGGAAGTGGAATCTATCTCACACATTTGTGTTGGCACTGAGTTTGTTCATGGAAAACACATGTTTCCACATAAATGTTCAGTTACAAGCAGGTTTTGATAAGGACCAGTATTGGATTGCATTACGGGGACACTGCAACACGAACCAACAGGACCTGGACACACCTTGAGCGGATGAAACAAATGTGTCAGAGGGCTATTTCGCTGTACAAAAGCCAAGAACATTTCTTTGTTCTCGGTGCATCCCTTCAGGCTTTGAAGGAACTACTTCTACACTGTTACGAAACCAGCTGACTGGGATTCAATGTTATCTGAAATGTGACAAGGGGACATTTTTATTGTCCATTAGATATAGGTACACATTTTTTCAATATTTACTTAAATTCAGTTTAATATGTCGAAAAAGCGGAGGTGTTTTTGCTGGTCATTGTCCTCAAGTTGTGCTCTGTTAAAGGTCACTGACACAGCCTCAAAAGTCACACAGTACCTTACAAACAGATTGCTCATGCAGGAATCCACAAGTATTTGCTTGGGTTTGAAAGGATGAGTTGCATCCCCTTAAAATGTGTTAGAGTGTGTGTCTGTGTGCTTGTGTCTGCCTGACCTATAAACCTCGAAACTGGCTTTCCACATATCTGTAATCTTCTACTGTATTTCATTTTCTTTTTTTCCCTCTGAAGATTTGTCCCAGTCTCCAGCTGTGGCCCCTGTTCAGAACAGTATGTATCATCGCCTGCAGCTGATGTAACTCGTCAGCGTAGATGTGCTGGTTGAGATAGGCAAAGTTGTGGGCGTGTTGGTGTAGCGTGTAGCTGGTTGTAGCCTCAGCAAAAGTTTGTCCTTTACGATTCTACAAATGCAATCTCGTCGAGTCCTGATTGCAGTTCAGGAATAGCAGTAAATGTATTTGAGAGAGTAACAGTGACTTCTTACTTTCTGGATTTTTAGTTGTTGTTATTGAATATGAACCTCAGATGTAGTATGTCTACTGCTGTGTGGGTTTATTTCAACACTTACTGCCATTAACACGGTTTCCCCTCTTTTTTTAACATCATTCCCTTTGTGTAGTCTACAGAACTCACTTGATGCAGTATACTGAGTATTAGACCTGACAACATTGTAGCAGAAATCTAACAACTGAGACTTCTCTTTCATTCCAGACCTCTACTCCTCTCAATCTGTTCTCAGTCCTATCCCAGACTATTCCACTCATCCTCCTTTAGGTATACAGCTCACGTCAACACATGCACATCAGTAGATACCTCTGCCGTCTCATATTTTCATATAAATATATATTTTATTTTATATATCTACAGGTGTGTGTGTGTGTCTGTATCTACAAACTTACACACAGTAGGGTTTTAGACACAGTTGTGTTAATCTGGTGACACATTTGCTCTTATTAGGAGGCTTGTGACAAAATGCCAGCTTTGATTGATACAGAGGAGTCAAGATTTTATCTTCTCCTACGATGGATATATCTATCCCTTATGAACTAAAATCCAGCTCCCCCAATTAAATTAGGAACCAGAATTTTCTTTTGAACTGTCATCATGAAGGGTCTCTTGAAGATGCACTGATCTCAAGCTGCTAGGGCTCCTATTTGAATCCACTAATCCGCTTTTCCTTCCCTGTCTTTCTATTTCACTGCAACTGTCTGTGGTTTTTTCTTTTTTTCCTCCTACCATTTCTTCTCTTTATCAGTTCCAACCCTGTTGAACATAAGCTCTTATGTGAGTGATACCTTTGCCAAAATCAGCTGGACTGCCACAGAGGAGCAGGGGGACTCGCAGCTTTATTTGGCTTATATGAGTAACCGTAAGCTACTTTCCCTGTCCTTGCTTAGCTTAACATTCACTGGTGTTATAGATGTCATCATATTCATATACTTGGGAATGTTTTGTATCCGTAACTAAAACATATGTGGTATATTTCATTATTATCCATTCTATCATTTTCCTCTAATGACGTGGTGCAGCACATATATTTTATAACTTAAGAAGAATTCATTTCCTGGCTGAATTTCATCCTCTTCTTCTTTGATACTATCTTCCTTGTGCACTCCTTGTGCTTGGTTGTGTAGGTGATGGTAAATGGCACTTCTCAGAGGCTGTAAACACTTCTCAAAGTTTCCACGTAATTGATGGGCTCAAACCTGGGACGGTGTACACTGTACGCCTCATGGCCAAGAAGCTACTTGATAATGCTAGCATTTTTGAAGATGTTATCCAGACACAAGTCAAAGGTGAGGGGAGACAAGGGGTGTCTCTGTCTGTACATTTGGTGATATAGATCTCACAGTGTCAATATTTTTTTTGATAGCATCCATTGTTAAGATTATGTGAAGTGTTTTATTTTCCTTGACACGACATTCACCTTTGTTTTCCCCCTACCTGACAGTCTCAGAAAACCTGAGCTCTGTCACTAAGGGGAAAGTGAATTGAATACACTGTGAAAACATCCTCTCAAGATGTGGGATCAACTAAATGTTTTTTCAGCTTTCACTTAGAAAAAACAAAGTTGTATGAGGAGTGCTTGAGGCAACTGTCATTTTCAAATGGACCAGTGTGTAAAGTGGATTGTTGAACTACGTGTTTCTTTACTGTTTCCCCTGTTGGGTTTGTTTTCTCAGGCATGGCGAGTAAGGCAAGCGACCGTTCCACCCAGCGCTGGTTCGTCGGGACCATGTGTGCCGTGGCACTGCTCACCCTCGTGGCACTCATTGTCTGCTTTGTGCGGAAAAACACAGGTGGCAAGTATGCAGGTACGCTGCCACCACAGCAACAAGCCATGTTCTCCATGGAAAAAGGTCAGTTAGCCTTGAGCAGGGACGTGCTCCCGTCTTTGTTTTCCGCAGCTCAGTAAATGCACAGTGCATGGAGATGCTTTAAGTCTGACTTGGGAATGAAATTAAGTTCTCTTTGACCTATTAATACCAGATCATTTGCTCGACTTTGACACGTGTAGGTTACGATGCATGTCAACTGTTCCAAGCCAAAGATCATTCATGTCATGCTTACAGCTATAGTGCTTGTACTACATATCAAGTACAGTCTTTTGTGCATTCTGTTAGTTCTGCTTGGCACTTTCAATTGCATGCCTTGTCCAGCCAGAACAATTGGAATCAGCTGGCTTTGTGCACTCCTCCCTACCCTTCAGCAGTGCAAATCTTTGAGGCTCTTCCTTGTACCTTTGTGCTTCCCTGCATCTGAACCAGCTTCTGTCTCATAATGGTCTGTACCTGAAGAGTCTCTTGACACAGTTTTTTTTTTCCTCTGAACCTGGGTTTCTATCTTCTCCCCGCCGTAGCTACTCGGCTGCTTTGCCTGCAGTACTTTTTGACACGAAGCACTGAATATTTCATCAGGTTCTTTGGATTCCCCTTTTGCCCATCTAGCGCTTTTCATGAAACCCCTCTTTTGTCTCTCTCAAAAGCAACTGGTATTTTTAAAGTATATTTACACAAGGTGCTGACAGCACTTTGTGCAGACACACAGCAGAGAGGCTCTTCATGTAAAAACTTAATGCAGTGTTTTCACTGTCAGATTAAGCGGTTTGGTTAGGAGCCTTTTAACATACAGCCTTCTAATTCCAAACATTTAAGTGTAATTCACTCTGTTTGAATGTTAAGTATTGGCTTTAGTTTTTCACTGAGAAATCAGTGGATTGGAGAACAACTTTCAAGAGGGATAATTGTATACTTTGATATATTTCTTCCAGTAAAATGTCAGAGAGAAACTGTACAAGTAGTCGGACGTTAGAGCATTATAGACATATAATTATACCTGATGTAAGTACGAAAGTGCTGCTGTTTAACACCATCTGTCTTGCTCCTTCTGCAGTGAAAGAGAAAGAAGATCTCCATCCTGACTCAGAGACACGAGGAATGAATGATGACACCTACTATGAATACAGGTGAGCTGGATGCCAGCACTGCAACTGACAGCTGCAATGCAGATGTCGGATAATAGTAATGATCTAGTTTCTATTTGCAGCCATTATTTCAGATGCATAATTCTGTATCAGTGTTAACATAACACCAGGTTAAACATAGATTATATATGTTCTGGGTGAGGAGCAGGTTTTTGTCAAATATTACTGTAATGGTCTTTTTTTCCCATTTTCAAAGCAAACCACGCATTCATGAGTTTTACCAGGATCGACCTGAAAGCCAGTGTTCTCATCATTTAATGGGCTAGGTAATCACACGATAGAGTAGCGGCTAGTGTCTAACTCTTGTCTTTAGCTTTGTCCCCTTTATGGTTTCAGATTATGTGATAAAATTGTAGTGGTGTATTTGTTTTTGTTCTCTAGAGTGAGTGAGAAGCCTTGTTCCTGTAGGTAACAGTAGGTGTCTTTGCGTTGGTATGTTTGTGTAATGTAAATTGTGTTTTTGGCAGGCCTAGTTTGAGTATCTGCCTAATGCTGTAGTAAAGTCATCTCTATCATTTTGTAAGGACCTCTAATTTTTCTGACTGTAAATTTCCTGGAGTACGCGAGATGACCCATTAACATGGGCAAAACCTAACAAATATTTTGTAGCAAAATGCAGTTCACCTTTTAGAATAAATCACTTATTTGAGTTAAAATAAAACACTATTATATGTCCCTTCACAATTCATATTTTAGGAGTTGGTAAAAAAAAAAGCTAACTGATGTGACAATTATACTGTGATTCCCTGTGTTGCTATATTTAGTTCAAAACGTTTTAATATTGTTACAAAAGTTGATTACCGGTAATTCGTAGTTACATTTCAGGGGAATTTAAACTAGTTGAATTCTAGTCCAATTAAATTCAGTCCATTTCAGCCTAAAATGCCAATGTGCAGTCCAATTACATTTGCCATATAAGGGGCTAATCAGTCAGTCCAGCCAGTCATTTGGAGAAGGCTAAATACCATGTTTAGCCTGTCAGTGTTTATCTATGTGGCAATTTCATAAGCTGTAGCTTCACAGCTGGGGTTACTTCTATCCCTGCAGACACTGTATTACCTGGGTATTTGACAGCTAAGGATCAACTTTAAAATGTATTAATATAATGCCATGGCAGTGCATATAAATAGTATATTGGACAGTTTTGATATGTTGTTAAAATGCATTTTTTCTGCTTTTGGATGATATATTTTGGCCATTATAATGGCATGCCAACTTTATGCTTATGTAACCATGCAGGGCTCTGTGTCATCCTGTCACAGTACACACTGTGAAATGACAACCAAGCATATAATATGAAATACTAAAATACCAACAACCATGGGCCATGGCTTGCTGTTCATTCACTACAACTTCTCAAGACATCGCAGTTAAAATAAAACAAGCTCCCATTACAATATAACTGGTTTTAAAAGTAGTTCATTGCTAATGGCCGACATCTTCATTTCAGTGAAGCAAGCAGAAGCAAAAATGACAGCTGGTGAACTTTATAATGGCTGTCAAATGGTTTGCATGGTTTAGCTTCAGATATTTATGGGAAACTCACTGAGTGCCGTACAGTTTAGCAGTACTGTGGTAACTCAACTGTGTGGAGATGGCCACTTGAAGGAGCAGAAATCACATAAATTAGCCTCTTCTATCTTTATCCACTCAGCTTGTAATCACATTATTTAGATCAGGATTACTCACAAATATTTGACGGCTCTTACTTGTAGTCTGATGTTCCTTACCAACATTTTAAATCCATTAAATGGGAAACTCTAAATAATTAACCAAATCTGTATCTTGAAATTGACAACATTTTTGCCATATTGTAGCACAAAAATCCCACAATATGGTAATAGTGCTATATTACTAAACAATAGTGCGCTGTTTTCTGAAAATACGTTGATGCCTTTCAAAAATCTCTCAAATGATGAAATGTCCATTTTTTAAAAATGCAGATAAAACTGTTGAAGAAGAGCACAATTGTTAATTGATAGGTTTTACGTGGGTTAAGAAAAAACAAGAGGAACCTATGAGAGAAGGAAATACTGCTGATCTCACATTGAATTTATCTCTGGTACAAAGGACTGAAAATCTCATCAGGCAGAAGAAACCATGGAGTGTTTTTTTGAGCCACTGCAGTTTTTCAACTCCAGTTATCTGCTTGGAATGCTTCTCATGACTGTCTTTATAAGGATGTTCACCGCACTGTCCCCCTGAGTGCCCTTAGCCTTACTATGATGTTGTTTTGCTGGCTTTAGAGCTGGATTCAGGGCTCTCTTGTGCCCTTTGAATCTCTGAAGGCTATAGACCACCCACCGGCATGCCATGTGTCTGGGGAGCTGACAAGTGGTAATTACGCTTCAGACGATGTCTTTCTGAGACAGCAGTCTACAGTTTTGCCCCTCTGTCCACTACAAGAACAGCAGGTCTAATATCTGAAACAGGCTGTTTCCTTGTTTTTTTAGTTTTTTTTTTACATCCATGTCCCCATATTATCCTACTTTATGTGTACTTGCGGATAAAGCAGCAGATGTGAAGATCTTTCTCTTAAATTAAACATAAACACTACATAAACAAAAGCTGTACAAAAACTCAGTTTACAGCTGAAGTGTCTTTCCTGAACCTGACCCAGTCAGCTCGGATCAAACGCCAGACACATTGAATCACTTTCTTTCTGGTGATATTCCCCCATCACCACTCCTTAAGTCTTTGCAAAACTGAAGGACAGGCCTTTCACAGACACAGGTGAAACTGAGTTGAATACTGACCAAGGTCCCGAGTGAGCTGGGACTCAGTTTCAATCCCATTTTCTCACTTTATTCAAAGTCACTGTGGGCGGGCGGTGGCTGTAGCATTCCACTGCACTTAGATAACAGCCACTTATCTTCAGTGCTCCAGTCATCAGAGAAGGAAGGTTTGATAAGAGTTGAAATGCCTTATGTGGCTGGCATCCTAAATGTTCTCATGAAACGGGATAGATAAGATTGGTTATTAAAAATGCATGTGAAGCAGACCCAATACGTAATCTTACTTTGCACCATGCCCCGGCCATAATATCTTGCTAAAAAATGTCGTGCCTGTAGTTGACACAGATGTCAACTACGATGTGCCTCAGATGGCACAGGTGTGTGTGTACGAGGCACCTGCGTGGTGGCTGCTTTGTGCTATGAATGCAAAATGAAAGAGAGCAAGACGTGTTCGCAAAATAGATAGTTAAGAGAATGAGAAAACACAACAGGGATGAAAAATTTCACTGCTTTGAGGTGACCTCACATCTTGTGAAGAGACACCTGCAAGTTGGCCAGTTGCCCAGCATGAAATTGGCATCTAATCTCCTCAGCCTGTGTGTGGGCCCCTGGGAATACCAGGAATGACAGGCTGTTTGTCTGGGATTGCAACCGTCCCACTTCTCCACTCTCCTTTCTCCCAATTTCAGCCTTCTAACCAAACCCACCCTGACACACATACACACGCACGCACGCACGCACACACGCACACACGCACACACGCACACACATATCTCCTGCTTGTCTTTCTTCCTCTCTGCACTCTGGCAATTTCCATTGCTGGCTCTAAAGAGATTTGAAATTGCCTGTGGTCCTGGAGCCTTGGCAATTAGCAATTAGTGAAGTGATTGTAGAAAGGCCTCCGCCTCCCTTGTGTTCCCCTTCCTGCTGTGCAGTCGCTGCATCTACGTCTGCCTACTGCCTGTAGTGATGTATTGAAAACATAGGAGGCTGCTCTGTGTGCATGTTAGCGTAGTCATGCATTTAATAGTCTCTGTATACGTACTGTGTAAAGTATATGTTTGTCTGTGATTTGTCTATGTGCCTATGTGCGTCTCTGACCTCTGTTATCCTTCTTTGTTGTTGATGGCAGTGACAGTGACGAAAAGCCACTGAAGGGCAGTAGCTTGTGTTCCAGAGATGACACATCCGAGGACAATGTCAGCAGAGACAGCCTGGGTGACTATGCGGAAGGACCAAGAGAATTCGACGAGGATGGTTCCTTTATCGGGGAATATTCTGAATACAAGCACGGGGGCTCTGTTAGAGAACCCAGCGGACCAAACAATGTCACTGCATAGAGCCAGTCTTTTAATCCTTTGAAATACATTGCGAGTTCTGCTTCCCTGACAGTCAATATGGTGTGAAGCTGCCAGTTTCCTTGCACAGGGTCCCCAAATTAAGGAATAGACATCCCTGTTTTACAGATACCGCTAAGTGTGACAAATGTGTAAATAATTGTAAATCCCGGAAGAGAACAGCCTGTATTGTGTGATAGTTTAATGTTTTGTGGGGATTTTTTTCCTTTTTTTTATGAAAGAAAATTATAATTGTATACCTATCAGCCACATTCACCTGATCACCAGCATTCTTTATATACTAAGAAACTAACTATACACATATATATATTTGTTCTTATTTATAACAGATACACCTACCAATTATATCAGAACGAATAACTCCATATCAGGTCACGAGTACACCCTTAGCTTTAGTGTATACTTTCAATGTTTTTGTTTAAATAGCAATTTGTGGACATTGATGATTTTCCTTTTTTATTTTCAATCTATGATTGTTATTTTGTATCAATTTAAGAAAATGTCCTTTTTAAAATGGTTTTTACTGTAATATGAGGAATACTTAAAGTTGTACGAACAATGTGCAAACAAAACAAAACATTTACATAAACATTACAGACTGTTACTGGTCTAAAAGTTCACCTGGTTTGTGAGTTTGTCAATAAGAAGGATGAGGTCATATGCTTATCAATGAATAATCTCTCAATTGTAAACCAAGAATATGTTGATACAGGTTATTTTTCAAAACCAATCGGTGTGTGTAGTCTTCATCTCTGATTTTAGCTGTCTTAGAGGAACAACACAGCAGTTTGCACACTGATATTTCTATTTTAACAATTTCCAAGATATTTTACTGGACGTCACTCTATATACTTAAGATTTTAAGGGTAAAAAAAAAAAAAACTACCCCTCATTAGATGATGTGATACAAGTTGTGCTTTAAATATCAGGTATGCAACATTTGTCTAATGTTGAAATCTGTAATGCTATAAGCTTTTTAAAAATATATATTTCTTTCCTTATTTTTAAAAACACAAAACAATTGGAAATGGCATCTTGGCCTTATAAATCTAATTTTAAATGAAAGGCCAAAGATATTGAAAGAAATATCCTGTTAAACCTGAAAATCGGAAATATGATGCAAATGAAGCTTAGATTGGACTCATTTAACAAGATTATTTAACTGATACAATTAAACAGGACACCAGCGACTCCAACTACAAGTACCAGACCCTTTACTGCTGAGATACTCATTTCGTTTTAATGTTTATGATTCACAAGTGGGGTCCTTTAAGATGCATTGACCAGCCTCAAAGGGAGAGTGAAAATCACTGCATAATCTATTTAGTACTTGAGAAAGAGAGTGCTTTACCTTTCGGAATGAAAACCAGAAATACTTTGACAGCCAAATTGCATTTTGTAAAATTTCCCCTGTGGATAATAAAGGTAAACATTGTCCCAGTCCACAAATAATGTGAAAAAGCGGTAATCAGAAATAGAGTCTTTACTTCAGACCAGGCAAAACAGAGGTGGTCATGTGGACATAAGCTTGGCCTTTAAATAAAGTTAAATTTGAGGTCAGTCTTTTGCATATGACTATATTCGATCCCAATTATTCAAATGTCCCCAGAGAGGAGAAATAGTGCACTTTTGAGAAAGCAGATATTCTAAAATGAGGAATGAAAGATTAACTAAATCTGACAAGTGGCGGAAAACTATTTAAAGTTAAACCAAGAACCTGATCAATCTGAGAGGTAACATGTAATTGGCTAACATCTACATCAGTTCTCATTCAAGCATATTTCTATAATTTATTTGCCAGTGCCAGGCTCTTCACATTGGTTGTGTGATATATCCCAGTTCTTACAACATCTATGATGCTGTAGTACATGGATTTTTAAAAGAGCTTTAAACCCATTTCATAAAATGAACACAACGATCAATAACATGGGAATCAAGTCTCAGATAGAAAGAAAAAAGAAAGGAAACCCTTGATGTTAATAAAAAATTAGGAACTGCTTTCAGATACGCTTATCCACAGTTTGTATTTAAAATTTCAATTGTGCTTCAGCACATCTCTTAGGGTTTTTCAGTTAAAAAAAAGACCTTTGTGGAGTTTTTGTGGGAAAACTTCACTTTCCCAGTATCGAGTAATTATTCCATACTAAAGTAATGTGTTTTTTTACTCTACTATACTCTAGTTTTACTATATTCTCTTGCTCACTCCAATATCCAAAGTGAATCATTTGGAGCTTTTAAATAAAAATTCAATCTTAAATGGAAAAATAGGAAAAATCATTTGAAAAAAATAAGAAAATGAAATCCTCTCTCCTTGACTCCTCTAATACATTCCAGCAAACACCCTTAGTTAAAGCATAATCTGGGTCACAGTCTCGGCATCCACTCAGGTTATGCTATTACAAGCTTGATGCTTTCCCTGGATTTGTTAGGTAAAACTGTTTCAGCCCATTTTCAGACATTTTACATGAACAAATTCCACGCTGCTGTATCCCGTCTATACCCTAGTGTTCTAGTTATAATCAAACCAGACTTGGAAGGATTAGTTGAAAGGCACTCCATGCAAGATAAAGGTCATTTAAAGAGATAATCCCTGTATTGCCAGGGATTACGCCCTCATCCGTTTTAAAATTGCTTTCTCTGTGCAACGTCAAGACCTCTAAACAACAACAAAAGATTATTCCAGACAAAGCTGCTCTGAGTGTCACCCAAGCAGCTTTATTCCTCCACTGAATCTATTTTAAGGACCCTTCAGATGTCACAGCGGTCACATTTTTGTATATTAATCGCACAAAAATCAAAGCGTCACCCGGAACAGTCCTGCTTGTTGCATTGATTTGGTTCATGTTAACGTAATAGATGGCGCACCCTACTACAGAACTTAGATCTGAGCTCCAAGTAGATCAATCCCTTTCAGTTGATGTGATACGCACTGATTTTAGGCCAAGTGGTCTGGAAATTGCCTTGTGGGTGGAAATCAATACCATGCCCATACACTGTGAGTTTGAGTCAGACTTGTATCAATTTTTAAAATAACAAAAGCCACAAAGACGGAACACCATGCAAAAAGGGCAAGACGGCTTGGAATTTACTCGGGATGCCGCATGCTGCATTTATGCTGCAGCTGCCCAGAAAGGAGGACAGTAACATGAAAGTTATGAGGTTCTCAACAATATTGAGCGCTGTCGGGTTCATGGACGGGCTAATGGTGGAAGGTGTGTCTTGTGATCCTGCCGAGGAGCCGTGCTTTGAAGTGACTATAACTTAGATCAAGAGAAGTTAAACCAGTATCATGGCTTCTACTTTTCAAAGATTTATGATGCCGATCTCTGCTGCCATTGGGCGAGAGGTGGGACACACCCAGTGTTACAAGTCAGTCCCAGGGCCACACAGACAAATAAAGCAACCAGCCATGCCTATTCAATCTCATTCGTTGCATCCATTTAGAAGCACCATTTAACATGACATGCATGTTTTTGGATGGTGGGAGAAGTACCCACACATACACGGAAAGAAACTGAAAATATTGAGTCCTCCGCTGGAATACTGCAATACTCTCCTTCTGCTAAGATGTAATTTGTCTCACCAGAGATCAAATTGAGGTGGGTGATTTTGCATACAGAGAATCCTTTTAAAGGGCTATTATTTCCCCAGTAAACTGCTTGAGATTCAAGCCCAGTCACTCTGAAAATGCCAGCCAGCTATTGAGAGGGTGTTTGTGCGCACGTGTGAGTCTTTTTGAGTGTGTGAGCAGGAGGAAGAATGGACACTCAGCCGTGGCAGAAACTAATGAGACATGCATTGGGAATATGATTACAAAGTCAGCATGGCTATGTCACTGACCAGAGGGGCACTTTGGTAGAGACATGAGTGAAAGTGAGCACTCACATGTATGGTGAATGACATAGCTGTACTTGTAAGTGAGTGGCAGCTGCTGCCAAAGAGGAAAATTAAGCTTGAGCCGGTGTGCTCTGCTTAATGCATTGCCTCTGAGAGCAATACTATAGAGCTTGAAGAATGACGATTTCAAACTGCTCAGGTGTGTGTTTCATTAAAGAATGCCATCTGAGCCCTTTTAAGGTCAATGCTTTCTAAGTTTGATCCAGCAAATGATTTAATCTGGACTACTGCTGGAGGTTTAGATAAGAGACTTTGTAAGTGCTGTGTGGGTGGAAAATCATTCTCACCCTGCTTGCTTAGCTCAGGGCTGTCAAAGCAGCATCTTGGCACAAGGAACAATAAATAACAATAGTCTGCTTAAACTCTGCGACTGAATCATTTGAAAAATGCGACTCTTTCAGTTATTTTTTTTAACTTTCTAATGCTTGAACCATCCCCTTGCTCAGCTGCAGTGATATTTTAATGTATTCTTAATATATCCTAAAGCTTGTTTATTATGATTCAGTTCATCTGGAGTGTTTCTTTCTTTGCTTTGTCGACTGTAATGTAACTCAAGTGTAGCACATTCAACACATTCTTGAAAAGAAAAATTGAGCTTGAAACCCAATCCTTATGTTTGTTTTTTTTTATTAAAGTTCAAGAGGAAGCCGAAAGCATAAGAGAAGTTGATTGGAAACGACGAGTTCTCCTCCTGTTCTTTACAAGCTAATTAAAAGTACTCCTTCAGTTTGCAGACGACTTTTAATTAGCAAGTGATGAGCAGTTCTGGATATTAAAGAGAAAGGAGAGACACTTCAACATTGGTTCTTGTTTTTCTAAAGCAATTCTTTTTCTGCGAATCCACTCCTGTGGTGTGTCTGCTGTGGAACATCAGGCCCGAATTATTCATGAAACCTTCATTAAAACACCTCAATTTGCATAAAACACAGGGGTTGCATACGATACATTAGGGCTTTTGATCCCGGTGCACATGCCAAATAATTTAACAGAGAACTGGACCACCAAAGAGCCCAGCATCTTGGAAGTCTTGCAACGTGTTAAGAAACTGATGATAAGCCTTACTCCGCTTTGAGTTTGAAAATGAG